CCCCAAAACCCCAAAACCCCAAAACCCCAGATAGTATACATCAAGGACTATTGGATGAAATAAATATATGATAGAGAAGATACTGTAAATGTAAATATATATCATTAATGGAATCAACTAATAGCAACCCAGTTAGCTGGGGAGAATTCAATTTTGATGCATCCAAAGAGTAAAATGCAGATGCCAAGGTTATAGTCAATACAGATACGAATTCATAGACAGCTGATTCCTCGGCTTAAAAGAAGCCATATTAGGGCAAGAAAGGAAAAGGACAATCAAAATTTGAGAAACTCTAGGAGTAAGTAGATGAAGAAGTAAGGGCTAAATGGGAATTAGAACAGAATACCTTAAAATTACAACTTATTGAACAAGACACTTTTGATTGGAAACTTGAAAAAGACCCCACTAAATCTACACTTAGGTATGTTGGTGCCATTGACATCAGTTACTCAAAGAATGATGACAGGAAAGCTGTGGCTGCTCTTATTGTATGTGAATTTCCTTCCATGAAAGTCTTATATGAAGATTTTGAACAGGAAACTGCTGATTATCCATATATTCCTGGATTCCTGGCATTTAAAGAAGTACCAGTCTACACTATTTTATTCAATAGATTAAAGTCAAATCAGCCAGAGTTATGGCCAGATGTATTACTTGTAGATGGCAATGGTATCTTGCATAATAGAGGCTTCGGATGTGCATCACACGTAGGAGTTTTGTTTGATGTTCCATCTATAGGTGTAGGTAAAACTGTTTTTGCTGTAGACGGCTTGACCCAACTTGGTGTAAAAGAATTGTGCGATAAGTACTTGTAAAAGGGAGGCGACTTGATTGAGTTAGTTGGTAAAAGCTCTAAGGTCTGGGGAGCTGCTCTAAGAAGTACTAATGACAGCAAAAATCCAATTATCATATCTGTTGGACATAGAATTAGTCTTGAAACTAGCATAAAAGTTGTAAAGTCATGCATCTACAAATTCAGAATTCCAGAACCAATTAGATGTGCAGACCTCAAATCTAGATCTCTAGTCAAGAAATACTACGATAGCTGAAACTGTAGATAGTCTCACAAGAGTCTGAATTTTTAAAGAGATACTTTATGAAATTAAAATAATTATCCTTTGGTTTGATATTTTATAATACCTATTATATCAAAAGACTTTTTAATTTAATAAACCTTTAAAAAAATGCAAGAATCTCCAGCCTAAGGAAGTGGATAAACCATGCCTCAAAGCCATCAGGAGTTGTTTGGGTACTATATGAATAATGTACTCGAGCGTCAAGATGATGACGAGGATGTATTTTTAGTAAATGATAATAATTAAAAGAAAAGAGAAAACAAAAGCAACGATATAAATCAGTAATAAATGATAAATAATACAACCCCCGCTGTTATTAATGATTCTTCTAGCAATAATCAAGCATCGCTCGTAGCATCAAAGCTGAAAAATTTTAACGCCTTTCAAAGCTAGTCATCTGATCCCCTGGTTCCTTATGATCCATCTAAAAATTCAATGGGAGAAGAGTATAAACTCTACAGATATCGCTTTTTCAATCTTGCGTTGTATTGCTTTGCTGCCATGATAAACTAAATCGCATGGATATCGCTTCAACCAGTTGCAGATGCAGTCAGCAATGCTTATGATAAAGACACGACCACTGTGAACACAATTTCTCTTGTATATATGGGAGTTTACTTGCTAGTAAATTTTCCCTCTAATTATGCTCTGGATAAATGGGGATGCAGATGGGGAGTAATATTCATTAAACATAAATTCATCAGTATTCATCTAATATTTTTATTAGGTACTAATTGGAACTATGCTGACCTTTGCTGGCATGTGGATTAAAGTTTTAGTCAACGAGGGATTCTACATTCTCATTATTGGCTAAATGATATCAGCCATTGGACAACCTTTCCTTACAAATGCACCAGCAAAAGTAGCTGCTTAGTGGTATGGTGAAAAAGGAGTAATTTCTTGAATAATTTCATTATATTTTTAGAGAATAATAGCTACAACAATCGCAACTGCGTCTATTCCATTGGGAGTAGCAGTAGGATTCGTAATTCCATCAATATTTGTAGACAATGATGACAATTTGCCTTAAAATAAGGACAATGCTCGCGATCATATCTTCAATTCCTTGTTATGCTAGGCTATTATAGCTTCGGTCATAGCAGCTCTCATTTTATTCTTTTTCAGAGAGAAGCCACCTACACCACCAAGTCCATCAGCAGGTGTTTAAAAAGATCCATTTTGGCCTAGTATTAGACAACTTTTCTACAATAAGAATGTTTGGCTGTTGGTTATCATTTTTGGGTTTGTATAAGGAGTGTTTAACACCCTAGGAACTGTTGTCGGAGAGATCTCAGCTTAATATGACTACGGAGCTGTAATTTTTAAAGATTTTATAATGATTTCAAATAGGATGCAGCATCTCTATTCGGAGCAATTTTTATTATTGGGGGCATTATTGGATCTGCATGCTTTGGAGTGTGGGTTGAAATAAAAAAGACATATAAACTTTCAGTTATAATTATCTCAATTTTATCAGCTTTAAGTATTGTTGGTGTAGCTTTTAGTTTTATGACTGGATTAGTCTGGCTTTCAACGCTGTTTTGCTTCATTGTGGGTTTTTCAATGATTCCAATTATGGCAGTAGGATTTGAATTAGGAGTCGAAGTAACATATCCTATCGATGAATCATATTCAACAGGTTTACTAATGTTTTCTGGTTAGCTACTAGGAATTATTTATGTAATCCATCATTCCTTTACTCTTAATGATTTATAGACTGTTATTAGTAGTGAATTAATAAAAGATTATCAAAAGGAAGGATGTTTGATATCTGAGGGTATATATGTAGCGTCATTAGTAGTTTCAATTGCACTATCATTTTTCGTTAAAGAAGATCTGAGAAGACAAAGACAGGAAAAGCTCAAGAAGGATAGAGATAGAGATAATGCAACGATTAAAACCTAGGAGATTAAGTATGGGGGTTCAAGATCACAAAGTGGCAATGAAATCGAGTAATACTAAGAAAATAATGAATGAAAGGGTACAGTATAATATAAGTACCAAAAATCAATCCTATCAATATCTATTAATTAGTTTGAAACATAAACCTTACTACATAAGATATTATTCTCAATAATTATTATAATCTATTAATCTACTTTAATTAAATCACACATCTGTTGGCCTTAGGGGCATACAAAGATTATAGAAAGTATCAGCTTTAAACATTGTCACATCCTTCCAAGCGCACCACCCTTTTTACAATATGTTCTTGATATTGTTATCTCCTCCTGGGTAATGAGGGTCAAGAATTAAAAATCTCACGTCATCTAGTTCCTCACAAAAGTCTATTCCTATAATAGTATGAGCATAGAGGTCTCCACCTATCATAATTGGAGTTCCATGATGTATAAAGTGATCTCTAAGTTCCCTTGCCTTTGTTTACAGTTCAAGTCCAGAAGATACATTCATAATCTTGCATTCAGCCTTAAGGAAGTAATCCATACATAGATTGACTTCAAAGGCACCAATCCACTACGAAGAGCCAATCATATCTTTTTCCTTATCCTCCATGCTAACTAGAGCTTATTATATCTCCTTATGCGATGGTACATCGTTTCTTGGAGCATAACCTTCATATTTAAAGTGTGATATCAATGTTTAAAGAGACCTGTAGGCACATCCCCATCCCTATATAGTAACTTTGAATTAACAATACTTACATTATCATTGAATCCATCTTGCATATAATGATAATAGAGATAATCTCCAGTAACACAGTATTTAAATGATTGGTTACTTTCAAAATCTAATATAAATAAATAATATTGATTCTTACTTGATTTTTTGAGAAGTGATGAATGTATTAACAATGGCCTATCGTATTCTACTTCACCTAGGCTCTAAATAGAATTTTAACACATTAGTCTTGGACTGTTCTGCTAATAGGAGTAGATTTAGTTGTATTTTAGCCTTTATTCCACAAATTATTAGGTATTGAGTGATCCATTACTAAACTAAGATTTTGGGAATTTATAGACAGTATTCAAAAGTAATGCACTCTCTCTGAGATTATATTATATTAGTTGTATCTACAGATAAAACATCACAATGATAATAAATTGAAGCATACATTGTTGTTTTGAGATAGAGGATAAATGATTGATTTAAGCTGTTTTCTACTGTGCTTCATAAATAAATCCAATTAATCATGCAAATTATCAGATGTTGAAAAAATTCCTATTAAACTCACATCTATTTTTCTAAGATCATTTTTTTCATTATGTGATAATTGGTAAGATGGACATCTTGTATTTTCTACCATAAATCAAAAAATAGAAAGGATTACTTTCATCATTTGGTAGAGTCATCAGCTCAAGTTTAACTAAATTATATGATTGCTACTTATCCTTTAAAATTAAAAATAAATCACTAATAAAATTACCTTGTTAGTTTTGATGAGCTTTCTGGCTTCAATATTGAGTCTTTTGCCGAATTCTTCACTCATTGATTAATATGGCTGAATTAACCCATCATTCCCTAGTTGCCTAAAGATCATTATAAGATCCTTTGGATTTTCAAGATTTTCTAAAAATTGCTACTATTAATACTCAAGCTCATCATCAAACCCTTCAAACGTTTATCTGATCTGAATATAAAAGAAATTGTTCACTACTTGATCTCTCTTGAGGTCAGAAACTTCAAAATCTGGTGATATCATTTTTCTATTGTCCCACCATTAATTTCTATCCTTATTATTTGAACCGTAGCTAATTAATTAGTACTCATATGACTGCAAAATACTATCAAAGCTGACTCCAGTGCCTATCACTGTTTTTTAATCAGCCAAAGTGTAGAAGAAATTCCCAAGCAAGAGTAATTTATGATATTAAGCATGTTGAAGAGTTTAATCTAATATATCAAGATGATTTGCTGGTTTTGTTCCAGTAAATTAAATATATAGTCCTACTATCTTTGTATTCCAAGGATAGTAAAGATTAAAGTTTTCAATATCGCTGATTAAATCTTTTTCAGTGGTTTACATAGCAGAGAGGATTTCTTTTTCTCTTAAACCCACTAAGAGGAATATCTTAGTTTCTACTTGATAGGTAGCTGTCCATGCTGATTAAGTAAATATCTGCACTCCATCATGCACTAAGATCTTTTCGATTTATGCTTCCATGTTAAATTTCCCTAATTTTTAAGTTTTATAATTAACTCTTAAATTCTTGTTAAATTACTCTTATGGGGTTTTGGGGTTTTGGGGAGATCGGAAGAGCACACGTC